TGCTTTATAACAACTGATCCATAGGGCGATGGTGCAAATGACTTTTGATCATGTTGCTCTCGGCCCTCCATAAGGACTTATCTGTCGGCAAAAGCTGGGACTGACAGTGCAACCGTGAGGGTCATATGGCCCTGACTTTAGCTCAGTAATAGGACCTTTTCTAGCTTGTTAGAGGTTACCTTTATGGCGCAAAAGGGACTTGCCACGTTGGGTATAGGACTGCCTCTGTTCCTATGTGTATAGCCGCGATGGATATGTGCCATAGGAAAGGGGGGTTCCTACATCTGCCTGCCGAGGAAACCTAGCGGCCCTAACTTGTTAGAGAAACCTATGAAATGGCTTCATAGTGTACCCTGCCCGCTCACCTTGGCAGTGATATGGGAGTAATTAACCCGGGCATATGGGAATCACGACTCGCAGTGAATGTGCACCACCTCTGCAGAGGGTAACAAACTGTTATAACAGCCGTACTCACGGTCACGAGCGGCCCGAAAAACTCACAGAATAGATGGCTACTTATAATGTTGTTTATACGAGATGATTATGATGATATTATGATGATGTTACATGACTCAATTGGATCGGATATATGATCATGTGGGTTTAAATGGGAGCTTAAGCATAACTTGACAATCACTGATGATAAAATCTTGACTTACTAAAAGTGCTAACAGCAGTAAACCAGTGTCATCCTTTTTGAGCCTCATGAACCCCATGTTATCTTGTTGAGTACGGGATGTACTTACGCTTGTTTATTTTCTTTATTTGGATAAAAATCTCGGATGGGTAACAGATGACAACATGTATGAGGAGTTTCCTGAGGATTATTAGGCTTGTGGTCAACCAGTTGACCTGCCCTGTGATGGTGTTCCACGAGAGAGAGTTATCTTTCATTTTCCGCTGTGATGTATAAGACTAAGTTATGTTATTATCGTGATGTAAGATACATTGTGATGATACTTTTTTATAATTTATCAACTTATGTGTGACTGATCCCTGGGCACACATGAGTTAGTGCATTCAATTTTATCCTTAAAATTGGGCGTGACAGGACGCTGGCTCCAGTGCGACCGGACGCTAGCCGTAGGGTCCGGTCAGTTCATTTGATCAAGACATTGCGTTCGGTGCGACCGGACGCTGGAGTGGTCAAGTGACCGGACGCTGAGAGGCAGCGTCCGGTCGACTCTAGTAAGGTTCCACAGAAGGGAATCTGCGACCGGACGCGTCCGGTCAGTACTGACCAGACCCTGGGGGTTCATCGTCCGGTCGAGTATAGTAAGGTTCCAGTGAGGGTTTAATGCGACCGGACGCGTTCGGTCAGTGGTGACCGGACCCTGACAGCGTCCGGTCAACACATTATCACTGGTTTGCGAGTTGAACTGACCGGAGCATCCGGTCAGAATGACTGGAGCGTCCGGTCACCCCGCAGAGGCACATAACGGTTCGTTTTTCAGCCGCTGTTATAAATACTTCACCCCTTCGTGTGAAGGGGTACTTTTGCTCATTCCAACAGCTGAGAAACACACTTGTGAGTGCCCAGAAGAGCAAGGTCCTAGTGAGGTGTTTGTGATTTGAGAATCCAAGAGTGAAACCTCATTAGTGAATCAAGAGTAGCAAAGTGTGTATCCATCTTCTCATTAGGCTTCGCGTGGTCAAGTGAGAGTTCGTGCTTGTTACTCTTGGTGATCGCCATCACCTAGACGGCTTGGTGGTGATTGGGAGTTCGGTGATCATTCAGAGAGCTTGTGGGTGACCCGACTCAAGATTGTGAGCGATTGTGGGTGATTCACCGCGACGGAGTGTCGAAGAATCAACCCGTAGAGAGCACTTGATTCTTGCGCGAATCAAGGGGGAGCTACACCCTTGCGCGGGTGCTCCAACGAGGACTAGTGGGGAGTGGCGACTCTCCGATACCTCGGCAAAACATCGCCGCGTTCCCTCTCCTCTCTTTACTTTGAGCATTTACTTTAAGCATTACTTTGAACAATTTAATTCCTGTCATTTATATTCCTAGAATTGCCATGCTAGAGTAGGATTGAAACTTAGATTGCAAGTCTATTTGTGCGATAGAACATTACAAACACTTTCTAGGCACAAGGGGTTAATTGGGCTATCAATAGGATTTAATTATTGTAAGAAAATTTAGAATTAGCCCAATTCAACCCCCTGTTGGGCATCTTGATCCTTTCAATTGGCTAGAATTGTCGTTCGACATTCCTGAGTATCTTTATGCACCGAGTAATTTAACTTGGGCGTTTATTTGAGTCCACAAACTAAGTCACAGGATTCACTTATCACATCAAGTACGTTTAAATCAAAAATCCGAGAAACTCGTTTCGAAATTTTTTCTTAGGCTTAAATCTCGATGCTAAACGAGCTCGTAACACCAGAGATGTTACACTACAATCGTCATGTATAGTATATATGCATGTAATGTTCTCACAACTTTGTAAGTGTCACAGAGCATTCTTTCTTGTTAGTGTGAATATTTGATCCTAAAGCAGAGTAGTTAGCAACTAATATAAGCATTGTATTGTTGTATCCAGATGCTAGAGAATCAGCATGCTTTATCTCTAGTTAAGACTCTTTTATTCTAAATTCATCCGGAAGTTTGCATGGTGGTGTATTTTTCTAATCTTCCAATGAATTTATTTATTTAATCTGTGGATATATAGGGCCATGGAATCATGTCAAGAAAATCTATCGAACAAAGAAGCAAAGATTGGGAAATGAAGTGCAAGTGTCTGACATGCACAAAGCTTTTTAAATATATTCTGATGTATAAGAATGAAGTTAAATGAATGCATTTCTTTGAGTTGTATACTATGGTGTCCAAAGTAAATATGATTATGTGTTTATTAAAAAGTAATTCTACATAATTATTAGCAATACAAGAAAAATAGAAAAACATAAAAAGGTATGACATTGATTGACACAAAATTTAAAATGTCTCTAGAAGATGGAGATACAGAATTCACCATCTCTAGAAAGTGGATCATGGCTTTTAAATACACTTGACAAACTGTATCTATAGTTGTCCGTGTGAAGATGCTCTAGACACAGTTTAGTAAAATGTGTCTATACTCTTCAATAGAGATTAAATAGAGTGTATCTAGCCTGGAGATAAAATGTATCTAGAAGCGATTTTTCTTGTAGTGCTTCTTGCTGCAGCCTACTCTGAGCCTTGACCATACCAGGCATTCCACCTTCCCTAATCCAGTAACTAATCACTATATGTGTGCATTCACGGTAATCGCCTAAATGTCAGCTAAATTTCTAGCACTTCAAATTTAGGAGATGTGATAGTAAAATGCAATATATATAGACAAAAAACACTATTTATTTCTATGTGCTTGACTTGAGAACGGATCAACTCTTAATTCCTCAGAAAAATAGGATTTCCATAATCTGGTATCTTTAGGTGACGACTAACTTGTTGGAACAAGGTGATATATGTACATTTGCAATAATAATGCACTCTATATTGAAATTTTTAAGAAATTTTGTGATAACGACCATTGTTGCGCTTAGCCCAGAGGAATAAGAAAGCCTGAAGAGCACCATAACCTAAGAAAGCGCGAAGAGCCATCCTAGAATAGAGGAACAAAGAAATGTCAAGCTAGATTTTCAAGGACTCCAAGATTGTCGGTCCGTAGGTACTTCACCGACGCTTTGGATCAAGATGCAGGCATGCGGCAGACCTTCAAAGAATAGAAAATGATGACCACGATTCATGTCTTCACAATTTGTTTTCCGTGTGAACTGAATGGTCCTCGAGGCCTGAAACTCTCCAACTTGGAGGCTCCACTCAAGCCCAGAGTGACCAACAGCCGTGCTCAGGTAACAGCTGTAAATTTTGCCGCATTGCAGTAAAATCATATCAAAGAAGAGTCCTACACTGCTAGAACACATGGAAACATTACATGGTAGATTATTGAACCTTAAAAAATCATGCCAGAGATAGCGTAGCAACATCATGGTGTAGATAGCAGCATAGTCCCAATGGAATGGGCAAGACACAAATGTAAAGAACAGGATGAATAATGCTCGTGCAGAGCAGATATCAAAATACCCAAGGTAGTAAACTTTGGGTCACCATTTCTCAATCACAAACAGAAATAATGGACATAGTTTGACCCTGGCAGTATTAGAGCTGAATCAATCAATAAACTTATCCAAAAAAAAATTGTGCATTATGGTTGACATAACGTCACTGCCAAAAACAGTGCATATGTTCAGCTGATGACAATTATAAATAGTAATAATAATTCTGTTAGCTCAAAAACGATCCGTTACTTGGTACAAAATATTATACATTGAAAGGACGCAATTGTAGATTTTAAGTTTATTTCTCTGATCCTTGATAAGTGGTTTGAATCGTGATGTCCAAGACCCCATTTTGTAATTTAGTTATACAATACCAGCTTTTCAGTGCAGACAATTAGCATGCAACACTTCTGTTTGATCCAAAGATAATAGATATTTCTAAATTGACATTAATTTATTCTGATTATGTTCATCTAAAATTTTAACAATCTTATATTTCACTATTCATACATAGGCAACATCAGAAGATATATCTTCTGTCAATAAGGTCAATGTAATCTAATTAGTTGAAAGTGCTGAGAAGGTAAACTTTTGTGTACACAAAAAAAGGAAGCAACAGATAAATGAAAACCAGCACCAGAATTTCACATATGCTTTTGTAAGCAAACTTCTAAGACAAGAATTGAGGTTGTTACCACATAAAAACAGTACATTTGTTTCTCCAAAAGATTGACTGCTTAAACAGACATGCAAAGTTAGCTGTTGCAAGAATTTGCACACATACTGATACTGTTCACAGCTTCAATAGAGCACAGATTTGCAGTAACTTCAGTAAGAGTGTCAACTTGCAAAGCAACAAATTAAAGGCTATCAATAAGAGCAGGAAAACTAAAATTTGGGCATCAGACATAAAGACAAGATAATCTTCTGAATGGGCATCGAATCTTCATGCATCATCTGCAGAAGTGGCTGTCAAAGGGATCATCCTTCCACAAATCGTGTGTGTGGCTATTGCATGCAAATGTTGAATAAGCACTTCTTTTGAATTTAAATCGAGCACCTTGAGAAGCTCTGTTGTTCAGTTGAAGCCGTCTGCGTTGATTAGCCATCCACTTATCATTGCAGCTGCTGATGCATCCAAATACCATTTTCTTTAGGACTTTTGCATTCAAAACAAAGAACTTGGCAAGGTCAACATCAGGTCTCATGCCCCAGTACTTCATCACGACCACTTGTCTAAGATGAGACTCAAGGCATTCAATTGGATCCAGTGGATTATAGCTCCATTTGTTTTTCCTACCGTTCTGTAGGTGAGACTGGATAATATAGAAAGAAAACAAAATGAAAGCAATTACTACGCCATCGGCAATGTCACACAGTAGCTCACTAGATTATATTATGTCTCAATTGTTCATATTGGCACATGAAGCAAGCAAAGACAAATTCTCACCATGATATACAGCTTCTGCAAGCAGGGGAAACACTTGAGCAAGTCAACAACTGAGTCCAGATTAGGCCCCCAAGTGTCAAGGGCCACAACCTTCACAGTGCGCATCAAGGTTGTCAAGCTTAGGGCAATCATTTTCTGGACAAGAATCAGGAGACAGCAAAATTAGTCACTAGCATATATAAATCCAGAATACAAGATGGAAGAATTGAAGCCTACTGCTACCTGAAAACAGTGGTTCCAAGATCAAGTCTAGTGATGCCATCGGACAGCGGGCCCAATATCTCTAGTTTTGGCGCCCGCACGACCCGGATTGTTGCTGGACCTTCATCCGGGTAAAGTGGTAACAATCTTTCAAGGCAAGGGGCATCTTCTATAATAAGAACTTGGAGCAAGATAGGATTTTCTCCTCTTTCCCTTAAGCAAAAAAGACTGATGCCGATGCTCCTTAGAGTGGGCGAGTTAATGCGGAGGCAACCACAGCCGAAATTCCCATCCAGCAAGAGGCTCTCAAGAACAGGGCAACCACAGAGCAGGCTGTGAAGAACATCCTCCAACACGAAGACGGAACGCAAGGAGAGCTGCTTGAGGCAGGGAAACTTGAGCAATGGCGCCACCTCTCTTGGGAAATCGCAGTTGCCAAAGTCGGCAACACAGAGGGTTGGCGCGAAGCGTAACGCGGACGGCGGTAGCGGGTAGGGCAGCTGCGGGTTCTCGATCTCGTAGTGAAAATCGATCTCCCGGAGGCCGGTGAGGGCCCGGGAGCGCAACCAGCCGTCGATCCTGGCGTAGCGGTCGCGGAGGCGGATGCCGGGGAGGGCGAAGCGGCGTGCGGGGCCCGGGTGGTCGGAGAGGATCTTGGAGACGAAGAGGATTTGCTTCCGGTCCTGGCAGGTGAGGTCGCAACCGGCATCAAGGTTGAGAGGCGCCGCGCGCCAGAGAGGGCGCCACCGGCGGGAGAGGATCTGGATGCGGGCGCCGGCCTTGGTGGGGAGGAGGGAGATGATGCTGCCAAGAACCTCGTCAGGGAGGCGATCGATGGAGTCGAAGCTTTGGCCGCCGGCGGGGCTGCCAATCTTCGGATGTCCTTGGCCGTCGATTCCATCCGGTTTGGTCTTCTTGGCGGTGGTGCTGGCCGCGTCCTCCTCCATGGCTGGCGGCTGGCAGAGTGGGGGAGGGTTGGGCGTGCTTCGTGGGTTCTGGTGTGGAGTGGAAGGATTGGGGAATCAGGGCTGGCGGCTGGCAGAGTGGGCGAGGGTTAGACGCGATTTTGGGTTAGGCCTTGTTTAGATCGGAAAAAATTTCAACTCGATGAATAGTAGTATTTTCGTTTTATTTGGTAAATATTGTTCAATCATGGACCAACTAAGCTTAAAAGATTCATCTCGTGATTTTCAACTAAACTGTGTAATTAGTTATTTTTTTTATCTATATTTAATGCTTCATACAAACGGCTAAAAATTAATGATGGAGCGTGATGGAGGAGCCTCAATTTTGAGGGTATCTAAACAAGTCCTTACGAGGAGGATAAGCGGGAATGAAGTTTCGATGGCGCCAAAAAAAAAAAAAAAAAAGAAGAAGAGGCAGATGAGCGGGAATGGAGCCTCAATGGCGCCAAACAAACAAGTCTGAACGATAAGTTTGCTCTTTATAGCTCACTGCTGAAACAGCTTATTCTCTCTTTTTTTTTACTTTAACTTTAAAATAACTCTCGGTTGAGCTATGGTGTTTAGCAAAATAGCTTATTCCGATAGTTGCAAAGGGTGAAATATATTGATATTATTATCCTTATTGTTTTTTTCTTTTTTTTTTCTTTTCTTTTTTTTTCTTCTCTTCTTCCCCTACCTTGTCCAATCACCCATGATCCAATTACCCCACACCACACCGAATGTCCGCATCTCCTCCTCCACCTACCACCGCCACGAATCTGGCTGTGCATGGGAGCGCTCTTGGGCCCATAGCACCACACCTTCGCCCCCGCACCCTCTCCTGCGCCTGCGCCACCACTCCTAGCTAAAGATGGCAACGGCCCCGATCCAAGAATCCTCTAAATTCTCCTATTAAGTGTGTGATTCATGGGATGGTGTGGGATAATCCCTTTTTTGTGCTGTTTGATTGAGAGTCAAGGAGGGGTGGGATCATCCCACTAGAGAATATTCTTGCCCCTAAAAATCAAGGGGACGGAGTCACAAGAAGTGGGACGAAGGAAGAGGCGCGTGTGGGGAGGAAGAAGAGTAGGTGAGCTCCAGCGGCACGTGGCCGAGCTTCGGTCCTGCTGGCTCGTGGATGAGCTCCGGCCCCGCCGATGAGATCTAGCCGAGCACGCGCGGATGCGACTCCAGCCACGGTGCTGGCGAGATCCGGCCGAGCGGTGCTCCGGGCAAGACGGTGAGCGACGCTCTAGGCGGCCTCGGCTCCGAGCTGTAACCCTGCTGGCAAGCGCCATTCATGGGTCGCGCGGACGAGCCAGGGCCCACCTGCGCGTGGGCGAGGACGCGAGGTCCTGCAGAGGAGGTCGTCAGTGTACATGCCGCCCTGTAGAGGAGGCACAGGGAGGTCGCCGACGTCGTGCGAGGCGTAGGGCGTGGCCCTGAGGAGGCGCAGGGAAGATGGGAATAAATAAGGAGAAGAGGAAGAATAGAAAAAAGGGAAAGAAACCTAACAAATAGACCCCACCAGTCAGCGGGTGATCCCATTTTTTATGTCAGCATACTAATACCAAACTGAAATTTGGTTGATCTCATCCCTCTTCAACTAAACATAAATTGGAATCATGCCGTCCCCGTCCCGTCCTAGAAACCAGAGATGGGACCGTCCCACACAGAGGGTTTCAATGCAGGGTGTGGGCTTGGGCACCAGTTGTTAGGGCACGACTGCCGAGCACGAGCCGCACAGAGGAAGGAGAGGCATGGGAAGGAGACAAGGAAAAATAGAGAAAAAGAAAATATAAGGGCATTATGGTCATTATATTATTTCTATCTACTATGAGAAGCTATTTTACCAAATGCTTTATCAAAACAGTTTTGGCTCCACTAATAAAGTTGCTCGCGAAGCTGAAGCTGAAAAATACTGCTCCACTATTGAAGCAGAGATGTGCCAACCGAGACCTTAGTCACCAAGAGCCAAGTCACTTGTAGCCACTCACATTGCGACTAAATTGCATTCATTCGCCCTATTTGTTTAGGCTTGTTTGGCTTATAAGCCATGGCTGAAAGTACCGTTGGCTGATTTAGTGTGAGAGGAAAATACTGTTCGTTGGCTGATAAGCCATGGCTTATAAGCCGAATACGACCAAGCGAACAGGTTGATTAACCTCGCAATACATACGTTAGTCAAAGTACTTGTGCCCATGAATCACCGAAACCACATGATCACCATATTAGGGCCTACGTTCAAAGAGGACAAGAGTTCTATGATACTTGCACATAAAGCTGCGCTGAAACGATACAGCAAACACGGTGTTCACAACTTCATGCCGAGATACCTCAAAAACATGTTGATGGTATCCCAAAAACTCTGAGAAAGAAACATAATACTACAAATGAAACAGGCACGTCAATGTTTAGCTCTAGAAACATAAAAGGCAATCTTTTGAACGGGCATCAAATCCCCGTGCAGCATCTACACAAGGACTTGTCAAAGGGATCAGACATCCACAAATCATGGGTATGTTTATTTCCTGTGAATGTACTCCAATCCGCACTTCGGAACTTAAACTGAGCACCTTGAGAAGCTCTACTGTCCAGTTGAAGCCGTCTGCGTTGATTAGCGAGCCACTTGTCATTGCAGTTGTTAAGAGCTCCAAATTCCATTTTCTTTAGCACTTTTGCATTCAGAACAAAGAATTTGGCAAAGTCAACATCAGGCCTCTTGCCATAATAGTTCTTGATGACCACTGTTTTCAGATGGCGTTCAAGGCATTCGACAGGATCTAGTGAATCGTACCTCGGCACATTTCTCACATCCTTCTGTGGGCGAGACTGTATACAGAGAGAAGAAAAGAACAATTTATAAGAAGTTGGTAGGTAGATGACAATGTATCGATCGAGATGACAAGACAATTATTGTTTATCATTTAAACAATAGACACAAATAAGGACAACAACTCACAATGATATACAGCTTCTCCAAGCAGGGGAAACATTTGATGAAGCCAACAACTGAGTCCAGATTAGGACCACTGGAGTCAAGAACCAAAACCTTCACCATGGGCATGGAGGTTGTCGAGCTGATAGCACTCATTTCCTGATCAGAAACCCGGAGTTGATAAGTACTAATAAGCTGCACATAGAAATACCAGATGCAAGATTCAGAAGGCAACAGGTACCTGAAAAACTGAGTTCCCAAGCTCGAGCCTGGAAATGCCATCTGACAGCAAGCCCAATACCTGCAACCTAGGTGCCTGCATTACCCGGACGGTTGGCGGACCATATCTCGGATCAAGCGGTAACAATCTTTCAAGCTGGGGTGCGTCCTCGATGACAAGCTCCTGGAACTTGACCGTAGTTTGGTTGTCCCGATGAGCACTGAAGCCAATGCTCCTAAGAGTCTTTGAGACAATGCAGAGGCGACCAATGCCGGAATTGCAGTCAAGCAAGAGGCTCTCGAGAACAGGGCAGCCCGAGAGCAGGCTTTGAAGGATGTCCTCAGACATTGTGGCCCTGCGCAGGGCAGGGTAAGCTGCTTGAGGCAGGGGAAATTCAGCGACGACGGGGTTATCTCGTTGGGGAAGTCGCAGGAGCCGATGGTGGCCACGCAGAGTATGGGCGGCGGTAACGGGTAGTGCGGCCGTGGGTTCGGGATCGGGAACTCGATCTCGTAGCGAAACTCAATCTCCCGGAGGCCGGTGAGGGCCCGGGAGCGCAGCCAGCCGTCGATCTTGGCGTAGCGGTCGCCGGGGCGGATGCCGGGGAGGGCGAAGCGGCGGGCGGGGCCCGGGTGGGCGGAGAGGATCTTGGAGACGAAGGCGACTCGCTTCCGGTCCTGGCGGCTGAGGTCGAAGCCGGCATCTAGGTTGAGAGGCGTGGCGCGCCAGAGAGGACGCCACCGGTGGGAGACAGCCTGCGTGCGGGCGCCGTCCTTGGTGGGGAGGAGGGAGATGACGGTGCCCAGAACCTCATCGGGGAGCCGGCTGAGACTGTCTCCAACCCATACTGGCAATCAAAGCCAAAAAAAAAAAAAGATAGTAAGAGGCCAAAATCAGCCTTCTTCAACGCATTAACTATACGGGAGATCTATTTTTGGTTGTCTGAGAGGCACAACCAAAATATGGATATCCTCGCTCCTGGAAACTTATTTACAGAAATGATTCTTTTTTGGGTCTCGTTGTTGAAGAAGATGCCGAATATGTATTGAACCTTTTGTCTGTAGCGCTACCCAAAGGACAAATGAGTCTTGTATTTTGGGTGTTGTTGTTGGAGATAGCCTGATGAGGTCGAGGCTGCCTTCGCCCATGCCATCGCCACTCCCCAATGGTTCTTGGCCCTTGATTAGAGCGGATCTGCACTTTTTGGCGGCGGCGGTGGCGCGGCGACTAGCGAGGGGAGGGTTTGGGTGAGGTAGAGAGAGGGTTGGGGAATGGGGAGCAATGGCTAATCTCCAACTGTTGGCAAGAAATGAACGGTCGAGATTCGCTCTTTCCCTTCCCGCTGTAGCGTTGTCCTAAAAAAATTTGAGGGGACGCGAAGGCTTTGGTGGTGCGAAAAGCATTTTCTCCGCGAAAAATGTCAAACCCTTGACTATTGTTTTCTGTATTTTTATAGAAAAACTAGCAAATTAACGTGCTCGCTATGAACTCAACACGTCTTAAAATGAAACTCTATATCATTGCTAGACGCAGGTTGTTTGAAATCATATGAGTACAAGTTATAAGTCAGAATCACATATGAGACACGTCTAACTCATATGAGTAGGGGTTATAACCACATGTCACATACGATACATGGGGTGGGAGAACAGTTTAAGAAGAAAAAGAAAGATGGAAGAATCCTTTCACTCTTTAATATAGGATATATATTAGAACGTAATGAAAAAATTCATGTGGGAAAAAAACTTTGAAATACAAAATCAGACCCACAGGCAAATGGTGATTGGAATATTTGGGTGGAAAACACAAAAAAAGAATACAAAGAATACAAAATCAGACCCAAGCTGACAACCGGTAAAAGGGAGACGGGAAAAGAAAAAAAACGGCGCAGGTAGAAAAAACAAAACAAAAATCGGATTAGATGTGCTAAAAAAGAATTAAAGAAAGGAAAACTAATAGTAGTGCTCTCTACCAAGCGTCCGTCCGGCTACACGCACACCTTCGCTTAGGCTTGCGAACCAGGTCTGACCGTCTCATTATTAAAAAAAATCTAGACGCTTTCATCGGGACGGAACCACCTCGTGCCGTGCGCCCCTGCGCCTCATGCCTCACGCGCATACCTGCCTCGTGCCGTGCACACCGCTCGTGCCTCGCACCACGTGCCGTTCGAGCCTCATGCCTCACGCCGCCCGCGCCTCGTGCTGTGCTCCCCCACGCCCGCATCAATGAGCCTTCATTGGACGACAGCAAATACTGAGCAAATTTTACAACCGTATGTTTCATGCGTTTCAGATGTATGTTGCATATGTCTCATTTGGATGTTGCAAAAGTAGATATGGTGTTGCATATGTTGCAATGGCTATACACGTGTGTTGCAAGTGTATGTTTCAAATATCTCAGCTATTTCAAACGTAAGTTGCAAGTGTTTTCATCTGGATGTTGCATATGTTGCAGCAGCTATACACGTATGTTGCAAGGAGTTTTCCAAATGTTTCATCTGTGTTCATCTAGATGTTGCATGTTTTCATCTGAAATTTGCATATGTTGCAGTGGCTATACACGTATGTTTTTAGTGTATGTTCAAAATGTTTCACCTACTTCAGACTTATGTTGCAAGTGGTTTATCTGGATGTTGCATATGTTGCAATGGTTACACACAAATGTTGTAAACAAATGTTTCAATTGTTTCACCTGGTTTCAGTATGTTGCACAGGTGCTGCTCCCCATGCGCTTTGACTCGCGGGCATGCACGCGCTGCACGCACCTATCCAGCGTTGCTTATCTCTATCATGCGGGTCAACTCCAATAGGCGAACGTGCACGCAACGAACGGTCAGTGTCCAAATGGCCGAGCACTCCCTGGTCATAGTGCATGCGCGCATGCATAGCACCAGGTCAGCACACAACAAACAGAAAACTAAGCACCCCTGCACAACTAGGCTTAGTCCCCCACGGTGGAGCATGCAGTCGGGGTCAACATAGGTACGCACGCTATGCTCCCACCCTCTCTCTCATATAGCTGGGCAGCCCCCACGCACATGCTCTTTTGTGCAGAGCAACAAACATGGGGCGCGAAGCACGCGGGCAGGCGTAGCAGGAGCACACTCAGGGCACAGTAAGCCTCGTACATGCATATAGGAAAGAAATGAGTAGAAATAGAAAAAAAATAGCAATGGACTCCACCTCGACTCTTACTATTCAAGACTTTGAAAAAAAACTATGCATTTAAATTAGAAAAGAGGAGTACATGTTAAAGAAATCTATTTAAATTAGGATTCCTATTCAGCTTACCTCTCAATGAGCCCTGTCTATTTCATATGAAATAGGACATGTCTGGACACAGATTAGGACAGTTTCATTCATAAAATTAGTTAGAGGGTAAGACCAAAAGTGTGCTAGAACCGCCCGAAATAGCACGCTTTCGGAGGCGCTCGTCTTTCACCAGACACTAAGCACCCCAAAAGCAAACTACATCGGACGGATTCCGTTGAGCACACCTATCGGTGTGGGACCCACGGGATACCCTGCAAGAAAGGGAGAAGATCTAGTCTAACTAGGATTCTTCCCATGTAATCTTAGTAGTAGTATTATTCTGTAATCCTACTAGGAACTCTCATTGTAAACCGACTAGGACTCTGGCCTCCTGACTATATAAAGGAGGGCAGGGTTCCTAGAGACGGGACTAGACGACATAACACTTTACAATCAATCCAACGCAAAGGCTAACACCGACTGGACGTAGGGCTATTACTCGATCAACGATCGAGGGTCCGAACCAGGATAAATCGACTATCTCTTGCGTTTACCGTCGAGTTCTGCATATGCTGAAGCCCAAACAAACTGCCCCGGGTACCCCCATGGCAGGCTATCGGTGGTGAAACATCGACAGCTGGCGCGCCAGGTAGGGGCTTTCGGCGACTTTGCATCCGAGAGCTCGACGGACCTCGACAACATGATCTTCTCAACGGGATCAACCTTCATCTTTGATTCGTGGATCTACGAGGCAGGTGACAATGGCAAGCTCCAAAGCCATCTCCTCGAAGATTCGGATCACCATGAAGACCATTCTATTTCGGCGACTACGACAGATCAACTTGCTAGAAGATTCGCGCAGCTCGCGATGTCCGATCCAACTCAGATTTCATGACTTTGCGCATCCGACTCAAACTCAGGTTCTGCATCCAAAATGGAGTCTTACCCGAGTTCTTTCGAGAAACCGAGTTCTTTTTCGATGGGGCTTAAGAACGCGGCCTTGGCCTATCAAGAATACAACTCGAAGTACACTCAAAGTCTTTTCAAGAAGTCGGGTCCTTTTCTGTTCGGACTCCACAACATGGCAACGTCTTATCAAACATGGCCCAAAGGATTCCTCGATCTGGTGCTTAGAATGCCACTGAAAGGAGCTCAGGAAGGTCTCGTACTAACTATAACATCTCAAGACTGCATCGTCCACTGGCTAGCTTCCATTCCTGAGGATAGCGGCACCCAACTAGTCGGCAATACGACAACAACAATTCTACCCTACCAAGAAGGAGACTCGATCTGTAACCTCGAAGCCTCTACTAAAGTTATCAACTACTCCGACAGTGTGGAAACTGACGCTGATAGCGGAACAATTCACGCACGAGAAGTACTCATGGTTCGCCGCCCTCGATCACCATTGGTCCCCCCAGAAGCGTCCGACGTTAGGTCATTGGATGAATCTGAGTCCAACATATCACCCTTTACCTAGGGGCACGATGGTGAGACCGAGTGTTAGAGGCAAGCCAGAGAGAGAAAGAACAAATTGAAACAAGGATGTCAACGCCGTGCTAGGCAGCGTAAGGAAGCTTTGATCAGATATGAGTGAGATCTGGCCGAGTACAATAGAAGAACTCAGAGCGACCTCACATCCTAGTGAAAAACAAGAACAGCTCCGGGACTTTCTCCAGTCAACAGTCCTAAGGACACACGATGGAAGGACCCACTCAAGACTACCTGCCAGGTCAACATCTCATGAGCAGGAAGATCAAAATCAAAGGAAGTCCGCTTTCGAAAGACTTGGACGAAGTGGAAGTCACAACAGAGAAAGTAGAAGAAACCATAGTCAAAACGACCGAGTCGAACAACAATGAAAGGTCAGAAGCAAAGCACCTATTCAGGCAGCCACACAGAACTACTCTCACCAAGATGACAGTTGGCAAGAAGGGGGTGTTGAATTAGAATACATAGAAGCCAGAACACACGATAGATTCCCCTGTTTTGCAAACAGACTTGCTTCAATACGGCTACCTCACAAGTTGAAGCTGTCCAACCACTCTAAGTATGATGGCAAGACCGAACCAAGGCAGTGGCTCAGGATTTACTCGC